AACTTTCAATCTTCGGACTAACTGTAATAAAGTTTCTACTATGATATTATATTAATAAAAAAAAAAAAAAAAAAAAACCTGTATATAAAACACAGATTGAATACAAAAATATTAGATAACATATTGGCTATCTGATATTTGTATTTTATATGATAATAATTTGTTAAAAGTTTATAATACCAGTCTGAAATAAGATTATAAGATTCGAACTATATAGTTCTCTAAAAACTGTGATTTCTATTGGCTAAATTTTAGACTAGACAAAATTAACCCCAACGCCTTCTTAAAAGACAATGTGTAAAAAAAAAAAATAAAGTTCAAAGTTTATTTTAAATATTATATTGATTGCTAGGGATATAAGATAATTAATTAGCAGTTAGTGTCTTTGTTAGATGTCACTTTCAAATTTCCATTAATTAAAAATATATAGCTTCGAAACTATAAATTAAAGTACTTCATATTTTAATTGGTATCAGTATAATTTTATCGAAAAAAAATTCGCAATACAAATCAAATTACTTTTTTAATTATTGTATTTAACTTCTATTACAATTATTAAAATCCACATGTTGAAGATTAAACAACTGCTAATGCTAATTTTCGCATTTACCTCAGTGAATACAACTACAATAAAAAGTACAAAGAGCATTGTTCTTATGTCAAGACAACTCCTACATTCACAATTTGTTTATTACATTGACAGACATCATTTTTCTTTAACCTTGTTCAGTTTCTTGGCTGGATATTTTATTTGTAATCAGGTTGAGCACCAGTATTTCATAAAGAAATAAATTTGCTCATTGAAATTACATCAAGTTTAGAAAATTCATCAGTATCTAATGTTCTAATTTGTTTGCTAAAAACTATATACTATATCCAATTGATATGAGTCACAATGCTTGTCTATTCTATCAATATCATCTTTACGAGATCACCAGGTTTCAAATTTAATACATGTTTTTTTCATTTTCTATTAAAATTGATAGTTTTAAGTAATATGTCGATTTGCTATCACGATTATGTTTATCAGATTTAACATTTAGTCCATCAATAATTCCAAATTTAATTAATTTAAAGGTATCAGTATTAAGAACCTAATGTTTAAAGTTCGAATTTTCATATTTACTTGACGTGTTTTATAAAATAGCCAAACAATGATTATACTTTGAATGATTCATTATATGTTTTTTGTTTTTTTATTTTTCATGTAATTATCAATAATTTTTTGAAAACTTTGAAATAAAAGAAACGAAAAAACTATCAAAAAATTCAAAGCTATACCATATTATGGAAGCTATACTAGGCGAACAATTAGCTTGAGTCCAAGCTAACGCGAATTATAATAATATTGCCACTAACGTCTTAAATAGAGCTGAAGCCATAGCCAATACGATAGGAGCAGGCTTCAACACTAAAGTTGATCGTAACTAAACCGCTAGCAATACTGTAGAGCAAGATCCTGCTGAAGCTACTTATATTCAAAATTACGCTAACAAACAAATTATAGGTACTACGGCTGGTTTAGCTTACAACTTAGAAGTAACTGCCAACCAAATTATGGCTGCTGGACTCTATAATACTAACCCGAACAAAACTGGAGCAGCGAACTATAACTTTAAAGACAGGTAACTATATGGCAGGAACTAACAATTTAGCTAAGTTTACTTACTATACTTTATTAACTAATAATTTCACAGAAATTTTTTTTTATAAATCAAAATGGAAAATGAAGTCTTGACATAAAAACAAATAGTAGAAGATATTATTAATACATCATACCATATTACTCAAACTAACAATGATTTTATTTAATTGAATTTTATTGATTGCCAAAAATTAGCAGATATGAACGATCCAGATGGAATGTGTAGTCTTGGTTACTGTTATGAATATGAGATTGGTATTTTACTTTATTTTTTTTTATAATCAATTTAATTTATTAAACTCTTATACGTATTAAACTTGATGTTATATATTAACTGTTAATAGTTAAAACTACATACGTATATTGGTATAAATTTTAAACTCAAGTACTGTATGTTAATTTTGTTATTTAAGAGCAACATATAATATCTCAAAATTTGATCTTGTGCAACCTTCTTCGCTTTAACATGATAATTAGCTTTTTTTTTTGTTTTTTTTTTTATTCTTTTCTTTTTTATTTATTTATTTATTTTTTATTAGTTCATTTTATTCTTATTTTCCTAACTATAATTTCATCGTTGGAGTTGTCATTGGAATCTTCGCTAAAGTCATTGCTAGAATCGTCACTAAAGTCGTCATTGGAGTCATTGCTAGAATCGTCGCTAGAGTTATCACTAGAATCATTGTTATCATTATTGTTTGAATGTTTTTTTAACGCTTTTTCTACAGTTCTAGATGTAATCATTGCTGGTGCCATTTGAGACAATTTCATTATAGATCTGTACTGGTATTATATATCTTTTTTTCTTGTATCTTTTTTCTTGATCTTTTTTCTTGTTTGTTTGTTTAGCATTTGCTTACTAACTTTTTTCCTTTCTTTGCAAGTAGCAGTAAATTATATTGTCATTGTGATTTCGTTAATATTATGGTTTTGCCAGGCTTCGCTATCATTACTGGTGTTACTATATTCTTGATTTTTTTTTTTCTTTGCTTGTTTGTTTTATCGACTGCTTACTAACTTCTTTTTTCTTTGTGAGTAGCAGTAGTTGTCTTGTTATCGTCATAGTTTTATGATTTTGCTAGTCTTCACTATTATTATAGTATTAGTGATATTACTATATCTTTGTTGTATTCTTTTCTTGATCTTTTTTTTTGTTGCTTGTTTGTTTTAGCATCTGTTTACTAACTTTTGCAAATAGCAGTAGGTTTCGTTATCATAATTTCATTAGTGCTATAGTTTCGTCGTTATTAAAGTAGTTTGTTGTAATTTCGTTTGTGATATGTTTTTGGGATTTATTGTTATTACTGTTGCTATTTTTTGTATTCTTTTTCAATTTTTTTTTTTTTGTTTCTTATAAATGTTATCTCTTTTTGAAGTCTTGTCGTTATTAATTATCTTTTTTTTAAATAATACCATTATTGTCATTGTTTTGATAGAGTAAGTGTATTGTTTAGGTTGGGTGGTTGTCATCATTATTTATATAGAGATGTTCTGATTAAGTGTGTTATAGTTGTGAGGTGATTGTTTTAATATTTATGTGTGTTATAGTTAGGTGATATTATTATTGTACTGTATAGTGTAGTTTCTTTTTAAAATGTATTATGCTACTGTAAAAAAATAAATAAATAAATAAAATCAAGTAATTGATTTTGATTAATCAATTATAATGATGAGTTATCAATTTAATTTTTGAAGTAATGAAATATGTATTTGCTAGCTATTATTTTGCTAAAACCTTAATATAGATCACTGAAAGCTAATAAAAATGTCTGATAGGGGTATTAATCTAATTTTTGAAGTAATAAAATACATATTTGCTAGCTGATATTTTGTCAAAACCTTAATATAAGTAACTGAAACCTAGTAGAAATGTTCAATATATAGGTTACCAAAAGCTAGTAGAAATTGTTCAATATGTGCTAGGCTAATAGGTTATAGATACACACCAAGTATCAGTAAGCTATTGGCATGGCATGTATCATCTGGATTATACTGGATTTCGGTAATCTATATGTAACCTATTGGCTAGCAGATAGATTGCTAAAACTTTATTGTTTGACTAGTGAATGATAGTAAAATCATTAAAATCAGGCCAGTAAGTTTTTTTAAAAATAGATAAATTTTAGCTAAATTGGAATATATATATCTTAGAAATTTTATTAATATTAAAATAAGGATTTACTTAATAAAAATACCTCTTCCAAAGCACTTTTTGATATCTGAGAGGTGGCATTAACAAAAATAGAGAGTGGCAATAACAAGTCTCTATTTTTATTTATTAATGTTTATAATTAATTTAATTTATATTAATATTATTTTTTTAATAGTATATATGCATAGCAGTTGCTTATTACTACAAATATTTACCTATCTGAGGATGAAATTAAAGAAGCAACTAAAGAGTACTTTGATAAAAAAGAACTAGACTTTTATTTACCAATGGAAAATACACAATAGAATATATTTTATAAAGATAAAATAGCTAGCCCTGTAATTGTTTTATTTAGTTCTCAATTATTCAGATATATTATAATTATATTTATTTATTTGAATTCATATCATTATTTTTTATATTTTTATATAATTCGATATTTATTATTTTCTAATAATATTAGTATAATTTGCACTAGTGATATGAATTAAAAATTAATTAATCGATTAGTTAATCAAGTTGGCAACTAATTAATTAACTATTACAAACCCAATGATCAACTATTGCTACCTGGAGAGATCTGTATCAAGATGCATCTAATGGTAGTAAGAGCATCAAAATCGGCTTGGTGGTTTTTGAGATATTTTTAAAAAACATCGTGTATATATATAAAAAAAGGTTTCTTTTTTTAAAGAAATTTTATATATACACAAGATATTTTTTAAAGATATTTCAAGAACTACTGGGCCGATTTTGATGCTCTTACTACTATTAAATGTGTTTTAATAAGCTCTACAACTTTTAATTAATCGACAGGATTGATTGTCTTAGTAAAAAAAAGTTTTAGATATAAGCTCATTGTCAATAATAAACTTTACTTATAAAATTTATATATTGTTAGTGAATTTTAATGTAGTAAAGAGAGCTTGTCTGTAAATTTAAATTGTCAGTAAAACAATTTTCAGTGTATTTTTGTGTCAGTGAAAATTAACTTGTTAGTAAAACAAGCATGTCTGTAAATTAAATATTGGTGAATTAATCGTCTGTAAAAAAAGCTTGTCGGTAAAATGAGTTTGGTAAAATGTGGTGTTTTTGAAGTAATTGTTGGTAAATCAATACAGACTCATTTTTAAGTACTAAACAAATTTACTTAAAGTATAAAGATATTATATATTAATAAAATTTTAATTTTTGATAATTTTATTAGTAGAGGTGTGGCAACTTAGTGAAGTGGTCTAGTTGTCACTCTCTCCAAGTAGCAGGTCTAGAGTTCAAATCCCATGGCTGACAATTTTGAAAAATAGGCCTGTGTTGCGATAACCTATATATCATAATTGGATCTTGAATTGAGGATCTGTAACTCGAGTTGTATCAGAGAGTGATCCTGAGAGATCCACTAGTATTTGTACAACTGGGGAAACCCGGGAACTACAAAGGAATACAAACTAGTTTAGAGTAGTGCAAACACTTGATAAGTCCATGATCGCATAAATCTTGGGGATCACCTTTACTGTACAGGAAGCCCATTTGGGAAGTCCCAAGTTTGGAGGTAGCAGTGATCTTCGATGGTACTACATAAAGCTAAATTCGAACTGGGGCCTGAGATTGGAAAACTGAGTAACCAGGTCCTTTAGTAAGGGACACACTAGCCGAACCGCTGGTTTAGACATAACGGAAGAAAAGGCTATATATTCTGAAAGTTTGGACCAAGGGGAGGGCGTCCTTCAGGCACTTAAAGCCTGGGCAGACCAACCTATCCGGGTTGCTGGCTGGAAGTAAGGAAGGGATCGATAGAGAATTCGAGTAAGAAGATGGTTGATATGTGAGTATTAGAGTTGTTGTGAACTAATACAAAGGCAAGAATTGTGTTACGGCAGCACCCCAAAAGGTGGCATGAGATACAAACACAATAGTGGCAGACAATATGTACTAATTGAGAAGAAATTACCGAACATGCAGGTGAATACACGTGTGGAACATGGACCACTCTGTTAGGTTTATCTCGTAGATAGATTAGTCTCATTGGGTGCAAAATCAGATTAGGCAATAGTAGGACCCCGGACATCTCTTATATAGGTCATACTATCACTTTAGCAAAAAGTTAAAAATTTGGCCTAAGGTTTTAGCAAATTGATGATAATTTTAATAAAAGGTTATAATTTAGCATTTTGTCAAAATTATATCAATTTTATATATGTTATATTTTATTTTTA